GCCAAGGGTGCTTGGGAGAAAGGGATTGGATGCAGAAATTAGTTGCCTTGGTTGGTAACTTTGCCCCATATCAGCCCTCTCTTAGTAGACTTCTTTCCTCTAATAGAAGAGTAAGGCCCTGAACAAATACATATGTGCTGCTTTTTTTGGTGGGAGGGCTCTTGCAGGGGTTTGAGTGTTGTTTTGGTTCTTGGCTTCTGTCTGTTGGATGCCATTTGAAGACCTATTGTTTCTTAATTCTTTTTTTGGGTGTGACTGGCCAGGAAGAGGCCATAGGCCGTGGAGACCCCACCCCATCTCTCTTTTGTACCTTGTCCCTTCTATAGAAAAATAATTTGTGCTACATCCTTATGGCGGTAAATCTGCCACTGTGGGATCATACTTGCTTGCCCTCTACAGATCATCTCACTTGACCCTTGGGCCATAGCAGACAGGCAGGCTATGGACACCTGTGCTGTTCTGGGTCTCTCAATGCATGTAGCTTGTCTATTAGATTTGGGAACAAAGAAAACTTTGTGGTTCTTGGGTGAATTGGGCAGTGTTCTGCTAGCCCTTCCTTAGTCCCTGAGTGGTCTTTAGTTAAGTCTTAGGTTGTGAACTTCCTGAGGTAGAATGTAACAATTTAAGCTACTTTTAATTCATTGACTGAGGTTCTTAAACAATCTATTGCTTCTACAGTTGAAACATTTTGGGCACAAATTTACCATTGTTAGTCATTTCTCAAGCTTTAAGAAATTAGTTCTTTGTAAAATATCTTAGCTTATTATTCTTGATATTTTAGGATCAACTACCATGGCAGCAAATGAAAGCAAAGGTTTTCAACAGAATACAGTTTAGAAAGGTAGTAACTATTCCTCAGTGGTTCGGTTAGGTGTGAATACTTTTGGCAGTGAATGAGTAGCAGTGGACTTGCACTGTTCGTGTCCTGTATATATCACTTGCACTGATAGAGAAGCACAAACGGTATATCTATAAGAGTTTCTTTGTGCGTTTCACTACTGTCCTAGGGCATTGTGGTCTCTGTTCATCTTAGGTTTGTGTTTGGATGTTGTACGAGTACTGTTTAATTTCAAATATACGTGTCCAGAGATTGGTGTCTTTAGTTTTACTTTTTTGCTCATATTTCACTTCAAAGTTAGGACAGGAGACAGCTGATTTTCCATTTTCTTACAAACTTTTTATTCAGTAATAGGGAAGGAAAATAAACCCTAAACTATTTTGTGTATATGTTTGTGTATATTAAATACACACATACTATATATATATACACACATATTTTCTTATGATTGCTTTTGAAATGTATTAGCTTAATACCTTATAAAATCGTCTTTGGTAAGTATTGACACAATTCAGATTAAAAATTTTACCTGTTGGCTTTAATGAAAACTTAAAACGATCTTATTTCAGAATAAAATGATCAAATGGAAGTATAGTTATTAACTAGCTAAAGTAAAATATTCTAATATAAAATTATCTTTCATCTAATCAAAGTAAGGACATGCAGTTTAGTTTGGATGGGAAAGGGGCTAAGAATTTTTTTTTTTTAAACCCTATTTCCAAAACAAGGCTTATGTGACTTCTATGCTGTGGAGACTAGGTATGTTCATGGAAGATGTGTAGTCTTAAAACAGTTTTCTTGGGAATAAGGGTTAGTGTGCAAACAGTGGAGATATTTATGCTGAGTCATGTTAATTTTATGTGGGACCTACAGAAGCTGGGAGAAAAAAATTGAAATGGTCTCACTAAATAGGATACCGAGAGAATGAACTGGACCTTAGAGTTAATGTGATAAATAGGTTTGTAAACTATTCAGTAATTTTTGTCTTCTGTGAAATGATTTAACATTTAATTTTTGCCTTAATTATCACAGTGTTTTATTACTTTACCTTCTAGGGCATTTTAATGTTTGGAAAGAGACTATAAGTAAACCGTTGGAATAATTCTATTTATGGTAGTAATGAAGTTCCTGGTGCTTGTTTTGGTTAATTCTCAAACAATTAGAGCAGAAGGAATCCCAAAACACCTGTGGGGTTTACCTTGCTCTACAAATTGAGACCTTTAGAGTGGTTTGTGGGATTTGTGTTTCTGGATTTATTACATTCTAGCTAAACAGCTTGGTCGCTTTCCCTCTGTGTTAATGAAAGGATGAGGACTGAGGTTCACTTATTTTGGGTGTGGCTATTACAAATTAAGAATTTCCAGTGAGTTTAAATGTTTGCAAGATAAAGTCGACTAGAAATGCCAGCTGTACCTTCCGCTGAGAAAATGAACAAAGACCTATATCTTAAGTTACTCTTTTATGAAAGCTTTTTGATGTAAATAACATCAGTTTAGAAATCAAAAGCCTCTTATCTTACAGAATACAGTTTGAACGAAGGGAAGTTTCCTTTGTATTTTAAAACATTTTTACACTTGATTGTTCAAATATTGGCTTTCTATAAAAATATTATCGTGTTACATTTAGACTGTTTGTAGTGCAATATCAATAAATTTTGCTGCTCCAGCAGTTTTAATTACTACCTTAACCTGGTTTCTGCTACTGTTACTTGTTGTCATTTTTTATTGGTCCAAAGAGACACCACCAAAATATGAGATAAAGACTTCTTACATGATGAGAAGAAATATTAAAGGGTAGAGTGTGTCTACAAAAGTGAAAATAAAGAACTGGTATGTATTCTCCATCTCAACAGTTTGGTTATTGCTTTAAAGCAGAATTATGGTTCTATACATCTATTTGTTCTAGAGCCAGGCTTTCCAAATAGAATGCTTTGCTTGACAATCCTTGCATCTTCAGAGAAATATTCTTCTCCACTAGAGATCTCAGCTATGTGGTAATTTTTATTTAAAAATCATAAGAGGGGGACCAAGCTTTCATACTGTGAGGTGACCACATTGCAGGAAAAGGGTTTCTCTAACAAGATGTGTTGCAAAGCTCCTCACCGTCCTCTCTTGTATTCATGTGACTTCCTTGCACTTCCAATTCTTGATTATATTGTTTCCCGGATTTTTAAAAATGAAGAAAAGTCTTCCAATAGGGAACTTCCCATTCATACCAAGTTTTGTTTTTTTTTTTTTTTTTAATGTTTTTTTTATTTCTAGGAGAGAGAGAGAGAGCGCGTGAGCAGCGGAGGGTCAGAGAGAGAGGGAGTCACAGACTGAAACGGGCTCCAGGCTCCAAGCTGGCAGTCAGCACAGAGCCCGACGCGGGGCTCGAACCCACAAACCATGAGATCATGACCTAAGCAAAAGCTGGACGCTTAACCGACTAAGCCACCCAGGCGCCCCCCCATTCATACCAAGTTTTTAAAAGCCAGCTAAAAAGAAATTGGTGATAAATGAGGTTTCTTTGGCTGTTTTGACCTAATATAGTATTTTCTAGTCCCCACTCTGACCAGGGCATTCGATTTAATATGAAGCATCACAGATTTGATATTATACATGTTCTTGCAGAAGGAGAGGCGCCTGGTGACTCAGTGGGTGTCTGACTTGTTTCCGGCTCAGCTCATGCTCTCAGTTTTGTTAGTTCAAGCCCCATGTGCAGCTCTGCACTGACAGTGCTGTAGAGCCTCCTTGGGATTGTCTCTCTCCCTCTCCCCCACTCGCATTGGCTCTCTCTAAATAAACTTTAAACAGTATTGCAAAAGGACAGCCTTACACCTTAACAAACACAGTTAAAGTACATCATGGAATTAGAAATATTTATTCAGAATATAAGAATGTTTGTAAAATATTATAAATGTCTCTGTATAAATAAATGGAGTTTTTTTTAAACAATTCTATATCAAATAACACAAAGTAGCTATTTTACAGCAGCTAAAACTAAAGGCATCTGGAAACATTTAAAGCATACAAGAAAAGAATCTAAAAAATTACAAGGTATAGTACAGTGTTAAGTGGCAACTTCAAAATGAGACTTTCAGTACAAACAGTAGAACAATACTGACAAATGCAAACTTAGTCACATGTGCTTTAATAACTGACAGTACATTCAAGCAGGTTTTTCTAATTCAAGTGGTTTAAAAAGTAGCACATTTTCAAATAGGAAACTGAAATCTCATGCAAAGTAAATAAGTCTTGATAATATGTCAAGAAACTGATTAGAAATAGAAAAGTGAACATGTTTCATTATCTTTGCATTAGGTTCAAACACAAGCAGATTCTCAGGGGCTCTCACTTGGCAGTCCTGACAGCAGCACTCTCAGTGAGTTCTCAGAGTTCTACAGACAGAACATTCTCCACGTGGGTTTGATCTGCACAAAGTGCCCGAGTGAACGGTACAGCAAGAACTAACTAAAGGCAGGTCTTCCATGTGAATGGGGGGTGAGAGTTCTGTATATAGCTTTCTTTATTCTGCTGAGCTGGGATTTCAGATGATATTGACTATGGAAAAATCAAGTACTGTCAGTCAAGGCTCTGGTTTTTCAGTAGCAGTTGCTGTTACTGGGCAATGATTTCTTGGTCACATGCAAGATCTCCCTCACATGCAGTGTGATAAGAGAATCTGTCAAATAGCATTCAGTAAAAAATGCAACCATCGTCTATGTGAAACCGTCTTCCTCTCTACAGGAATTGGTAAAATGAGAATGCGTGTACAGATCCTTTTTAGCTTGTAGCCTTTTCCACTTGTTTATATTTTAATAGCTATGGAGCGCTCAGTGATGATATGGTGGCAGCAGCCAGCATTACATTAATTAATAGTGCTGGTTCCAATTCTAAAAAGTCCATGCTTGGCAGCCTAAGGCATGTATCTATTAGTGAATCACATGTAATTAATTAGAAAGTGACTTCAAGTGTGTGAAATGCGGAACTTGAGCCCGGCTGACATGCACACGGGTTTCAGTGAACCAGAATAGGATTTGGATAGACTTCAGGAAGAACTCTGTGTGCAGCAGGTAGAGTTTGGAGGCCTCAGTGAAAGGTGATGATTGTATCATTTCTTGCCAAACAGACCACTGGACTGGATAAATCGAAAAATATTTGCTGTGTGATTTTTTGGAGTTTTTTTTTTTTTTTTTTTAAATACTGTTCTACAAAGCGGTCATTTCAGAAAAAGTCTCAAAAAAGTTACTTCTGCACCCTTCCCTCCCAAAACACCGTGGCAGCCCTATGACTGACTGCATCCTGGTTAAATTCAGTGCAGAAATTTGACTTATCAGGTCTGTCTGTTTTGGTCTCTGCTGCATCTAGAAATGTAGGTACAGCTGTAAACTTAGTGAACATGATCTTTGCACTTTCCTCCCAGCTAGGCATTTGCAAATGGCTTCAAGTTTTATGGATCCTTAGGATTTCCATAATAAAAGCTTTGGGCATTTTCTGTAGTTCTGATGTCTCTTCTCATTACTTTACTTAAATATGAGAACTGTGGAGGTTCTTAAATTCATGCCAGTGACAGAGTCCAGTCCAGATGAGCTAAAACTGTGGGGTGTTTTTCTCATTTAAAATAACATGATTGGTTTGGTATGCAGGGTTGGGAACTAGGAGATTTTCAGATAGTTTCAAGTTTGTCTTAGAGTAGTAAAATCCTTACTTTTAACACTTTTTAAGTAAAAATCACATAGGCTCTAATTGGGACTGCCTTTCTGGAGTAGTAGAATGTCAAGGCTCTAGTTCAAGTTCTCCGAGATCCCTGTAAAAAGTATTGATGCAGGCATAGAGGAGGACTTAGCAACAGGTGCATGCATCTCCAAGGAGAGGAGAATTAAGCAATTATGTTTAACTGGCACTTAATTTTTTATTAACTTAACATTCCAGTTTCAGGCGACATGGATGTGAGCTTCAGGAGCCTGACATGCTTACAGTTGAGAGTGAATATGAAACAGTTAATTACCTGCATTGGCAATGATGAAACATCTAGTGTGTACCTCTGGGGCTGGGGCATGAGCGGGAGGAAGGGCATGAGAAATCTCACCTGTCTGATCACGTAAGACTTAATCATAAATAACTTCTGGTACATCTCAAAAAGGAATCTTCCCACCTGCAAGTCCATCGAAGTTCTGGCAGCTGGTGCAGAGGGGTTTGGCAGAACATCAGATCAGTTGGCGGGCCCACATATCGATGCCACTCCAGCCACAGACTGAAGTCTCTTTTGCCTGATTTGTGTCTGAATTTGGCAGTGGGAAATCCACCCCAAGGAACTTTGAGATGGATCCTTTCTTCCCATGCCGGTTTCTCTGAGAGCCAGAGACTGAACTCTGAACAGAGAAGGTGACTGCCTAAAAGGAGTAACCACTGAGGAAACCGGAAAACAAAAACCATGAAAGTCTAAAGACTTTAAAGCTCACACAAGTTAACTGTTTCACTGTTTACCTTTTAAGGAGACGTTAATAAGACAGCTTCTATTTAGAAAGAAAAACTCAGGTTATAAAGTATTCAGTCACCTGCAGGTTTTTACATTTAATCAATGTGATTTTCAGTGAGCCCCACAGTTAGCATAAACCAGTGCCTCTTGGTTCACCTTCAGTCAGGATCTTGTCTTAGGGAGTATTTGAAAAATACAAGGAAAGGAAATCAGCTATTTAATTGCTTTTTTTATTCCACACATTTATAAAAGTAACAGTTTTCTGGGGAAATAGTTTTGACCTAGTCACCACATATTTAAAAGTATGATGTTGAAGTATAAACTCAAAAGGAGACCAGGCAGGGTGACACTGGGGCTTTAGATGGAGGAACTGAGCCCTCCCGAACCTGAAAGAGTTACACGACCCTATATGACTCACCTAAAAAGAGTGTGTTCTCCTGTAACTTGGACCAAGAATGGCAGGCAGAGGTCAGCAGACAGGATTTTATTCCTGTGTCAGCTATACCTTTCAGTGTTGGTGAAATTAAAACTGTTTTGATGCCTGTTCAGTCACAAAAGAGCTACGAGTGGTTTCCCACCTTGGACATCCCAGTTGGCTGAAGGGAGGCCATTTCCCCGAAGCAAACTGGAAAAATGCAGAAAACCAGCATTTTGCCTTTGAACCTTCCCCCCCCCCCCATTTTTTGCACATAAATTTTTAGCCACAACGTTTTCCTTAGGACAAAATGAAACTTTATCACAAGTATAAAAATGGATTTAAAAAAAATCACAAGAACCAACTTTGACTAAATGGTAGATAATGTAACAGAACAGGAGCCAATCGGCACTTTCACAGTGATCAAAGCAGCCAAAAGCTGGTCCCTCCAGACCGATGTGTTTCATTTTGTTTGACAGTGGGCAGCTTCACTGCTGGCCTGAGAAAGGAGGATCACTTTTGGGAAAGAACAGCTCTGCCCTCCGAGGAGGTGGCTTTTGCCATTGCAAAGAAGGCCTGAGGAACTTGTATCTGGTTGTCTGAAAACAGACCTTTAGCTCACGGATATTGGGTGAGCCCTAATGTAACCTGATCATAAACAAAACTTCGTGAACTATAGCATTGGGACACAGTTCTCAGGAGACTGGGGAGGTCTTCAGGTGCTACAGGATGAGAGGCCAAGTGGTCCTTGAAAACCTGTCCGTGTGGGGTAACTACAGAAGAACTGAAAGATCAGAAATGGAATAATGAATGTACGATGAAGGCCTTCCTGAAAGAATTCAGGTACTTTGGTCCTGACCCAGCCCTGTCAGCATTTTTCTTGAGATTTAACCTGTTTTAAGTACTAAGTACCGTATACTAACCACCATTTCTCTGGGGGGGCTAAGAGGAGGTCTCAACAACCATTCCTTCACCTGCTGCCCTAACAGCAGAAGCGAAGTCGAACTGGTGGTTCAGTAGCAATCTCTTCAATAGGTGGATCAGCCTGCAAAACATTCAGTCTCCTCCATGTCCTGTCTGTTGCCCTTAGAGAAATAGAATCAGGTACAGAGCTGTGTATTTCCTCCTGTGGATGAGCTATGATTCATGCAGAACAGCAATTATGTGGTGCCCTGGGTGGCGGGGGCGGGGGCACGAAAGTACTAACCATGTCCCTCTGCTCTTGAAGAAACTCCTGGTAAAATTTTAGTTCCACCTCTATGTAGCAACAGGAATATGTATTAACAGGACTATCTCAGCTCTAAGTCTTGGCTTTAATAAGGCTCCACTAGGAGGGAAAATGCCAGAGTCAAAAGAGAAGTGCCCTTCCCAGCCCTGCCTCCACAGTGAGAGGTGAAAGAAGTGTGCGTTCTCCCAAACAGAGCTGTCCGGCACAGCCCTGGGGTTGCTCCACCTGTATCTTCAAATATATCGGGGACCAGAAGTAAAGCCCATGCACCTATGCACCACCCTGTAATCTACCTTGCTTGCCGAGCACCTCTGAGGGACTGCCCATCTCAGGGTTGGTACGTGGGACTTGAACACCAAAGCCTGGTTGCAATAAGCAAATCAGTTCTAGAGGCTGAAGACACCCCCTCCCCCATTCCCATGTGTTGTCAGCATTTATCCCTGAAGAAGAAAGAGGAGAAACGGGATGTCAGAGATAAGGTCGCTATCTACCAAAAAGAAGAAAAGAATGGACAGTCTTGTAAAACAAATGCTGAGGGCACCACTGATGCACAAGCTCCAGAACAGGTGGGAGAGTGACCGCCAGGGCTGAGAGCAGAAGCAAGGCCTACTGTGCATGGCGCACAGAGCAGGTATTTACAAGCTGTCCGTGGGCCCGGAAGGGGGGGGCGGGATCCCCTGCATACAGTCTACATGGTGTGGTGTCACCAGGCCACTCGCCCCTGGGGCAGAGTCCATGGCACTCCACTGGGTAGGTGCTGACCTAACTGCCAACCTTCCTTTTTGTCACACTCCCACCAGGTGCTCTGCCTCCCGGGGCACTTCTGTCCCTGGTGACCTGCTAGAGTTTAGCTTACACGGGAAGAGCTTTGGTGCCCAAGGGCCGATTAAAGTGAAGTTTCGTTGGTGTGTGGCCTTGAGTTCTCCTCCTCCAGCAGAGCTATTCTTTGCTTGAGCATCCTCACTTGGGTCTCGTGTCTCTCCACCATGGCCATCATCTGAGACTCCAACTTCTTCAGTTTGTTTTGATGCTTCTTCTTTGCTTTCTCATAGGCAGCCACCAGGTTGCTGTGTGGGAGGAGAGGGAAGGAGGAGGAGGAATCATTTGAGTGGTATTGAGACACACATGTATGTACTGTCTGCTGGGTGACCAGGTCCAGAGAGGTCAGCCTCTAACTAGGAATCTGCGCTCATGGCCATTCACCTGTTGGTTTAACTATAGTTACTTCCCATGGCTAGAGACTTCTCCCTAATCCATTAGGAGGGGTGTAAACCAACAACCCAGACTAGCCACATCCAACATCAGTAACAGAAAAGGCAGCTCCAGAAATCTGTCATTTAAATACAGATGGTGAATCTGAATCTTTGTGTTGTTCCATGGCTGCCTGCAACGGATGGTCAAGTGTCAGCTACCAAGAGTGTTCCTCACTCAAGCCCTGCATCTGAGTAACCTCACCTAGGAGGCAGGCACAGAGGCTTCAACGACAAGTTCTCTTGACCACACTTTGGGCTGGTGGGAATGGGAGCACAATGCCATAAACTTATGCTGCCCGCCAAACACAGAATATAATCCTTTGTGAATTTACAGAGTTCACAAAGTTCTTACGAAGAACTTACAAAGAGCCTGGTGGAAGAGAACAGAGGGTGAGCCCAGGGCTGGGTAAGTCCTAATACCCTCTTTGGTCCAAAATAGCACACCAATCCATTCCACATATGGTGAGGTCTTCCAAGTGTGGTCCGAGAACCGATTCCTAGAGATTCCCAAAACCCCCTCAGGAGAGGCCTTGGAGGTCCTTTACCTCCTAACTACACATCGGTGTGAAGCTAGATGTTCCTGATTTATTCCAAAACCACATATTGCCTGTAGAAATGGATGTGTGAATCTATCTGCCTTCTTTTAAACCATTTTTTTTAAACCAAGTGCCAATTATATGTGAATTTATTTTTATTTTCTTTCCTGTAAATGAATAAAAACTTAACCATTTGTCTTGGTTTTAGTTTCTAAAGTGAGATTTATCAATAGATAAGTAATTTGAGAACAGAGTTCTTTGAATTCCTCAATTTATGAGCATAAAGGGGTCCTAAGCCCCAAAAGTTTGAGACTGCTGCCTTAGAGCAGTGCTCCGTAAAGTGTTGCACCAGATATTAAATGTTGCTCAAATAGATGCCTGGCTGGCTCAGTTGGTAGAGTGAGCATCTCGATGTTGGGGTCATGAGTTCAAGCCCCACATCAGGGGCAGTTTACTTAAATAAATACAAAATAAATGTTGCTCAAATAAAGGGCCTGAAGCCAATTTTGTTTGGAAAACGGCTTAAACACAAACATATCTTCTCATTGTAGAAGTTCTCAGAACCTTTAATGTGTGAATTGTTAAGGGGACCACAGTGTGCTGCATTTCCCAGACATGTGGCCCCAAGGACAGGCCTTTACTGAGTAAATGATGCTCTAGGGAAGACCAGGCTGGGGGCAGGGGTGGGGGTGTGGTTAGGGGAGAGGGCAGGTGAGGACTTCTATTCCCTAGAGCTGGTTCCCAGTAATTATGGAACTGCCCTCCCTGGTGTGGGAGTCCAGGCACCCCTGGGAATCCACAAATGGAGATTTCACCTGTTGGCTCGTTTTAGGTCATTCACGAACTCTGCTGATTGCTGGTGTCGGATTTCACTGCTCTTGGTGAGTCTTTCCAAGGCGCTCACCAGCTCTTGCACTCTGGCCTTTAACTTCTTTTCCCTGTATCAGGAGAGAGAAAGTATGCATTGAGTAACTTGACATGATGGGGCGTTGGCTATTAACCTGCAAGAGGTGGCAGAGAGGTTTAGCTTGTGAAGTCAAAAGGCAGGTGTGGAGAGGAAGGTAGTAGAGGGCTCAAGAGTTCATCTTCTCCTCAGCAGAACCTTAACATCTCAGCATTGCTTTCTTTAGTGAGAAGGGCCCTTTAGAGATCTCAGATCTCCCTCTGTGTCACATAGGAACAATGTGGGAGGTTGTAGCCTTCTAGCTATGGGAAAGTAACCCAGTGTAGAAGTTACTTTCTGCTGTGGATGTACCAAATGCTCAGCCACGAATGCAGTCTGACACAGAACCTCATTGGGGGCCCATACTCCTCTTTTCCAAGTGTGCTGAAGCATCTCTTGAACCACTGATTTGAGACTAGAAACCCCTAGTCTGGGTGTCCTACCCTGGACAAGTCCCCACTCAGTGAAATCAACATCATCTTACGTTTGCAGAAACACAAAAAGCAGTAGTGGTAGAGGGAGTCAAATCAATAATCTCATTTTAGAGCAAATCAGAGAACTCTAGATGCTGGCGAGGATGTGGAGAAACGGGCACCCTGCTACACTGTTGGTGGGAATGTAAACTGGTGTAGCCCCTCTGGAAAACAGTGTGGAGCTTCCTCAAAAAATTAACAAGAGAGCTCCCCTAGGACCCAGCAATAGCACTGCTAGGAATTTACCCAAGGGATACAGAAATGCTGATGCATAGGGGCACATGTACCCCAATGTTCATAGCAGCACTCTCCACAATAGCTAAAACATGGAAAGAGCCTAAGTGTCCATCAACAGACGAATGGATCAAGAAGATGTGGTTTATCTATACCATGGAATACTACATGGCAATGAGAAACAATGAAATCTGGCCATGTGTAGCAACATGGATGGACCTTGAGGGTGTTATGCTGAGCGAAATAAGTCAGGCAGAGAAGGACAAATACCATATGCTTGCACGTATATTAGGATTAGGAGGGACTTAACTGAGGATCATGGGGGAGAAGAAGGGGGGAAATAGTGGGGGGGAGAGAGGCAAACCATGAGAGACTCTTGAATACTGAGAACAAACAGGTCTGATGGGTGGGGGAGGGAGGGGGGAGATGGGCACGGAGGAGGGCACTTGTGGGGATGAGCACTGGGTGTTATATGGAAACCAATGTGAAAAACTGTTTGTAAAAAAAACCAAAAAAATAAATTTAAAAAAAAAACTCATTTTAAAGGTCCTTGCTCCCCTTTACATAAATTAGATTTGCACTTTGACGATCCCCTGCCCCCAAGGCTTCAAGTTCCATGGGCTCTTTCCTGCTAGAGGAGCTCAAAAGTGATGGACTTAGAGTTCAGTTACAGGAGGTTTCTGGTGTCCCATGTGCATATTGCCTTCCTGTGATTTCCTTAAGAGCATGAGACCTGGACAGGGAAACATTAATGAGACCATCCCTCAAGAGGTACCCCTTTCACAGGCAGTGTTACCACATAGTCCCAAGCTTCACATGCAGCACGATCTGATCTGTTTTAAACTCAGCAGGCTCTGCCACTAGCATGTAGGCTCTGAGGTGGCAAAGACCTTACCCAAATGTACCCTGGTGCCCAGCACCATGCCTGGGTGACAGCTTCTCCATGACAACAGTTGTTAAGATAGCTTCACTAAAGGTATCTGATTCCTTGGAGCATAATGAAGAAACCAGGATTTACAGAAGACGTTCCTCTAAAAATGACTCACGAGTGGATGACAAATGTACATGAGCACAACTGTTCTGGAAGGCGATTTGGAAGCACATGGCAAAATATAAAGTGAACACACTCCTTGACTAGGCAACCTGATTTCGAGGAATTATTCTTAAAGATACATGAGATTACAGCTGGACTCACTTCAGTACTGGTTACAACAGCTAAGAATGGGAACCAACCAGGGGACCAGTCAAGTTCATTAAGGTATACTGGTTCTATTGAAATGCCCTGCAATTATTTGTTAAAGATGCAGATCAACGTGCACTGGCAGGGAAAGGTGTCTGACAAAATGTCAAATGAAAAGGGTGAGTTCTATTGGATGCCAGTTTTGGAAAGACAACTAAAAATCTGAGGTGAATGGCTGATAATATTCTAACAGACCAGAGAGCTACCCACCCCTCAACAACCGGTAACTCCCGGAAGGAGTGACTGAAGGCTTTCGTGTTTTACAATTTTTTGTATGCTTCTTGTAAAGTGTGTGAGAACCAGTCTCAGTGGTAATGCTTCCTGTAGGACGGCTACGGGAGGGTGCACAGGGGTCCAGCCCTTCCTGGCTTTTCACATATTTTACACATTTTCTGCCTCCAGTCCCTCAAAGTGCAAGTCAAGCTTTCAGACAAACTCCCTAATGAAAGAACTGCAACACAAAAATCTAGGCTGCTTTTGTGAGTGAGGACAGAGGGGGAAAGAGCTCTAAAGGAAACCTAACAACCAGCCCTAAGTCCTGATGACTCCTCATTGCTTGGTGAATCCTCCCACCCACCCTAAGGGGGGGGGGGGGGGGGGGGGCACTGCAGAGGGATTCCTGAGGAATGTGAGTGTCTGAGGGGCCCTAGCAGCCACCAGGCAATCTCAGATCTGGTTGCATTTTCTACTGGACTCCAGTGAGCGGACCATTTTCTAGCAGAAGTGAGAAGTGTCTTGGAGGGCGGTGACAGGCGGCCCTCTGTCAGCTGAGGCAATGTGAGAGCGGGAAAGATTTTTCCCCCTTCCTTCTGGCTATTAAGAATGGAGAAGGGGTTATTTGTCCTACATTTTGTTACTGTCTCGATTCTTTTATCTTTCATTCTAAAGTTGATGAATAGTGTAAAAGGAAAAAAAAATCATGAAGTGAATTTAAAATGTCACCATGAACTTAATAAATTCAAAACAAAACAAAACAAAAATGCCCAGAGCAATACCCTTTCCCACCCTCAATTACATCCACCCCCCTGCCCAACCAGCCGAGAGAGTATGGAAATCCCGGGCTCACCACAAAACAAAGGGTTCCTTTGCCCCAGAACCCAGGCCCCTGGGGGACCGGAGGGAATTTTTCCGGACCTGGCAGGCTCCAATGGAGATCGTACTCAGGAATACAGAGGAGAGACTCTCAAAGACCGCGTCCACCCCTCCAAGGATGGGGGGGTGGGGGTGGGGGCGTGGGAGGTGGAGCAGCACACTGGGAGCTGAGAATTGCCTCCAAGAACTCCCTGGGCCTCAGGAAGGAAATGAGAGTGCACCTGTTTGTGCAGATTCCAGGACAGAACCAGGATGCTGATTTATTTGCTGATATAAAGACAAGGCCAAATTTCAAATCTAAACCTAAAACATGGGCTACTTTACCTGTTTTCATTTGAGTGAGGCAGACATCTGTCATACGAGTCATGGCTCCAAGTGCCGCTCATCGACTGAAACATGAAACCGCTTTGAAGTGAGCATGAAAGAGGGCTTTACCTCCATTTTGATCTTAGTCTGCACTTTCTAACTGATTTTTTCTTTTCAGTTTATCTCTGAACGCAGGCAAAAGATGTGCAGGCACAGCAACCCCTGATGGGAACAAAACTACCCCCTCAAGCAACAGCTACCCTGAGCCGGCAAGACCCTGCATGACTGACCCCAAGATAATGATGGAGCTGGCCTTTCCTGCCCACTTACATGTACCCCCTGACCTCTGTCCCACATTTTCCCTACATAAACCTACAAGTACCTTCAGCACTTGAAGGTAGTATCTAAGTCAATAATAAGTCCATGGTCTTCCTGGTGTTGGCCTCAATGAAGTAAATTCCCATCTTGTGTCACTACCATTCGTCTCTCTCCCTTTGTCAGCGGTGAGTGGCTGAACTTGGTCTGGGTGAGACCCCCAGAGCCAGCTGCTCTTGCACCCCTGTGCCCCCTGCACAGAGGCCCCTGTACCTCTAGACCTACATTGCCAGTATGGCTGCACTAGCCACCGTGACCATCTGAGCACCTAAAGCATGGCTGGTCCGAACTCAGATGTGCTGCAAGTGTAAATACACACCAAAATTTGAAGACTTGATGTGAAAAGAAAGAACATAAAATAGCTCAACAACTTTTAAAACACTGTGGGGCACCTGAGTGGCTCAGTGGGTTAAGCATCCAACTCTTGATTTTGGCTCAGGTCATGATCCCATGGTTTGTGGGATCAAGCCCTGCGCTGGGATGCTCTGTCTCCCTCTCTATCCCTCGAGCCTGCTTGTGTGCGTGAGCACATGAATGCATTCTGTCTCTAAATAAACTTTAAAAAATAAAAATATTGGGGACCTTGGCTGGCTTGGTCAGTTGAGTGTCCAACTTTGGTTCAGGTCATGATCTCACGTTTGGGAGTTCAAGCCCCACATCAAGCTCTCTGCTGACAGCTCAGAGCCTGGAGCCTGTTTCAGATTCTGCATCTCCCTCTCTCTCTGCTCTTCCCCTACTCGTACTCTCTCTCTTAAAAGTAAACATTAAAAAAAAATTTTTTTTAATATAAGTATTGATTATATGTTGAATATTTTGGATATATTGAGGTAAACATGCTATTATTTTCACCTTTTGTAGCTACTAAAAAAGTTTAAATTGCCCACGTGGCTGGCATGTGTGATCTGTATTCTGTCACCAGGAGACCAGAGCACGTGCTTGCAAGATAGCACCAGGGGTCACCCTGGATTCTGTGTCAGATTTGGGGTGAGGCCCGGGAGCACCCAGGTGATTCTAACTACCCAGCAAATTTAGGAAACAGTTAAGGCAAACTGTTCTTCACCAAGTGGTCTTGGAAGGTTCTGGATCTGAATGCAATTATGACATGCAAGGGCAGACTTTCCTTATATCTACTGCTTTCCTCAGCTTCTGGAAGTTCTTATCCCAGTCACTTCAGAGCCTCAATCATTCATGTCTTGTTCCTTCTAGTTTCTAGTTCAAATTTTTTTGGCCTTCAGCTGGGAATTAATAGTGTGTCTGGATGAGATAATAAGGCTA